GAAGATCTACTTGAACAATAAATTATCTTTTGAGAAATTTCATAAAATTATTCTAAAATTGATGTTTTAATGCTCATCAATGCCATTCTGGGGGTATGACGACTTTTTTCCAATGTTTTTTCCATATTGCCTATAATATTTTTATTAATAAAGATATATATAACATTTGTTAGATATAATTATATTTCTTAATGCCATATGACGTTTGGATTGAAAAGAATTTCGTAATATGTTTATTTTTATAAAAATTATAAACAATAAATTGAATTGTACGCTATACTCAAGTATGTCGTAACGTGACATAGAGATGAAATTCGCTTTCCTTAAAAAATAAAGTAGATTATTGTTATGCAGAGCACACATCTAAAGATATCATCTAAAATTTACAGGAGGATATGGTATGCCTGTCCTGTACCGCAACAGGAGAGAGGGTCTGTCTGGCAGCCGAGGGTTTTGGTAATCGACATTGTTTTCTCGAAAATATTGCAGATAAGGTAAAAGCGAATGCGAATTTCGTAAATAATGTCTCCCTCATCTCATCTTTGGGTACACTTAATCTTTCTTCTCTTCCAGAACATACCGCCGGACTTGTCGCAATGCGTGTTCGTGATAGAGCAGGCCCTCTCGGTGAGGGCCCTGCAGGAATTGGTTACCGCTGCCGGCTCCGAGACGGTAACGTATAAATTATCTGCTTAATATCGTACACTCGTATGACTTTAGCTTTGCTAACGAAACTCGTAGATCCAGGAAATAGTAGTAGATTCTACTCGTGCCATCAATGAAACAGCGACTCCTTCATTTCAAGGGAGGTGAATAATTCGAACACGCGACTACGAATGACGAGGCTCATACAGCCGAGCTTGACTCATACGATCCGCTAATTGTAGTTTACGCGAACAGTATGATCACCCGCGTTTCGCGATTAGAAGCTCTTTATATTCCAAATTAATGGTCAAACATTAGGCTGTTACACGCGCTCGACCTGCATAGGAGTAGGCCATAAAACCCGCCCCCTTTTGCCAGTCTCTGTGTAAAAAGTCCCGGAACAACACACAGGTCTAAAAGATGTTTAAGAAAGAAGAAACGCTGAATGGTATCCGAAAAGATTGGGATGTCTTCTAGTGTAACATCTTTACAACGTCTGTTAGATCTTTAGGTTTGCTCACTTTTTCCGCCGAATAATTTCCGAAAGATTCCTTATACGGAATAGCTTCTCTTCAATGCAACTGCAAGCAACCCCCCTCCCCCGCCGCACCCCTTATCCGAATGATTGTGGCATGTGTCCATAGTCGTGTAAAAAGATTTCACATCAATTTCATCAATTTCATGTTTTATCATTCTCTGTTGATAGTTCCTATCTGTGATGTTGTCACTCAAAACATGTCAGCATTGTAGAAAGAATAGAACATCATCTAAAAATTTAATCGAGATTCATTATCATAAATAATCGCGAAATGTTATTTTATTTCCCTTTTTCTTTTTCTGTGCCTTTTTCTTTACAACAAATTTAAATTCGACTCTTGACGAACGAGATTCATTATTTTTTATGTTTTTCTTTGCAGCAACAAGACAGTTTAGTAAGTATAATTTTCGTACCGTCTGCGGGGCGCCGTAACGTGCTCTTGGGTAAAATAATCATTTGTTTGTGTGTTAGAACATCGTAATGTCCGATCGAGTTTGGGTGAAGATAGAAGTGTAGATAAGTACGTTCATTTCATGGCAAAGGCTTCAGCCAAATTTCGAAATACGATAGTCCATATTCATGTCTCTATTTAACGCCACTTAAATGTGATTCCACATTGCATTACGTTGCATTTATACAACGTAAAGATACAGATTTATAAATTAAATAGTAATAATTTTTTAAATCTAATTTACATGGTTTTTAAGATAAATAGGTGTATTGTTTTAATTTTTGACATTTACATAATAGAATTTCATAGAATTATTTAATATAGAATTTTAATAATAATTTACTTTTTACAGAATTATGTAATAATATTTAATTTCTCCTAAATTTTTTTTTCACCAAATACCGAGATGTTATTTCACCCATCGATCAATTAAGCTATCATGTCTGAGAACTACAGTTTAACATTAATATAACGAATATATTAGGATTAATAACAGCAACCGCTTTCTTTCGTTTGACTGCATAATGTCGTATTAACATCTACATTCGAAAACGCGTTTAGTGCTGTGTCTTCAATTTACACCTCGTAAGCTTCATAGCCTGACCAGCACTTATGGCCTTCTCTTATCAGTACGCTTGTAGAAGTTGTCTAAGAAACTGTTATTTTGCGAACTATTAAAATCTCGTACGATATATGGAGAGAAACATTAGCATGAGGGGTTGCAAGGGCTTTGACCAATCCTTTGATGCTTCCAGGGAAAGGGCACCGGGTCAGGGCACAGGACCTTGTTATATGGTAACGCCATATTATTGCGACATCTAAACAGCGACATGGTAAATTACTCTTCTTTATAATAACGCTGTTATGCCACATTAATTTTTCATGGTTACGTAAATCTATGATCGTATACTGCAGTACCTGGCGTGTCTATCCACGAGTTCGTCGAACGATAAGCTAGCCTTTGACGTCGGTCTACAGGAACATTCTCATGGTCGGTGCAGCGCAATTACACTTCAACTCTCAACAAATTCTTTTATCGAAGTTAACGTTATTTCTCTCTATTCCGGCATTAGCCGAATATATCGCTTTAAACATTCATGAATAATTACTTCTTAAATGAAATTATAACTTTTGACAGAATTGAAACAAAATTGAAGTTTAAAGTTGCATGTAAAGCTGGTAAACTTTTGACGGGTCGAGAAGTATGAATCTCGTGATCGTTCGAAATTTCTTAAAATTTTATTCTCGAAGGTGAGGCATGTTGGTGGACTGTGCATCCCGCCTCCAAGCAGAGATCCGAGGGTGAGAAGGTACGTGTAGGTGACGATCTTATTCTGGTATCTGTTGCGACCGAACGATATTTGGTAAGTTTGACAAAAAGATTATAATATTTCAAAGGATTTCTTGTGGAATAGAAAAAGAATTCATATCTCTCGCGTTTCAGCACACGACGAAAGAAAATGACCTATCAGTGGTGAACGCATCTTTTCACGTGACGCATTGGTCGGTACAGCCATATGGAACCGGTATCAGTAGGATGAAGTACGTCGGTTATGTCTTCGGCGGTGATGTGTTGAGGTTCTTCCACGGAGGCGACGAGTGCTTGACGATACCGTCGACATGGAGTCCAGCACCCAGTCAAAAGTAAGCTCTTTTAGAGGGATAAAATAATCTCTTTTATAATTACAAGAGTAGCGTAAAATTATAAAAAAAATTATCGTTATTTTGAAAATAGGACAGAGGATAGAAATAATCGTTTTACAGATATTTTCTTCGTGGTTTTACAGCCTCGTAATCTACGAGGGCGGTAGCGTGATGAGCCAAGCGAGGTCGTTATGGAGACTAGAGCTCGCCAGAACAAAATGGGCGGGCGGCTTCATCAACTGGCTACATCCCATGCGGATCAGGCACTTGACAACTGGACGTTATCTTGGTGTGAAGGAGAACAACGAGCTCTATCTGGTCGATAGGTTAATATTTATTTTTAGAAAAGTTCAAGGGTCACGGCGATTCTTAGAGGATCACGATAATGTTTCCGAAATTCCGGATTTTTTTTTTTTCCAAGGAACGAGGCGACAACTGAAACCTCAACGTTCTGGCTGCGGCAAGAGAAGGATGATCAAAAGATTGTTCTTGAGGACAAGGATCTGGAGGTCATCGGAATGCCGATTATAAAGTATGGTGATTCTACCGTGATTATGCAACATGCCACCACGTGCCTCTGGGTGTCCTATAAAGTAAATAAAAAAATTAATTTTTCCAAATTTCTTCTAAAACTAAATTTCAAAAATAATGAAATAATTACTTGTAATAAAAGTTACAATAGTAATTCTCACGAGACTTATCGCGACATTGTTTTAGTCATACGAAACAAAAAAGAAAGGCGTCGGAAAAGTTGAAGAGAAACAGGCAGTACTCCATGAAGAGGGTAAGATGGACGATGGTTTGGATTTTTCCAGATCACAGGAAGAAGAATCTCGCACTGCTCGCGTCATCAGAAAGTGCAGTAGCTTGTTTACTCAATTCATCACGTAAGTTTTTGTAGTTAAAATATTTTTAAAATGTAAAAAGAGATAAAAGAAAATTATGTACTATACATAGAAGTATGAAAGACAGATAAAAAATATCAGATATCAAGTAGAGAGAAAATGGGATAGGAGTTTACTAAAAATATCGAATACGTTTTAGAGGCCTAGAAACATTGCAAGTGGATAGAAGAGCGTCCATGTTTTTTCAAAAATTGAATCTTAATGAAATGGTAATGTGTCTTGAAGACTTGATCAATTACTTTGCTCAACCCGAGGACGACATGGGTAAGAAGATTACATAATACTCTTATATAACATTTTTAGATCTTTATTTCTTTCTTAGTATTCTCTCTCTTCAGATTACTTTGCTAACAATAGATTCTTTCAGAACACGAAGAGAAACAGAATAAGTTCCGAGCTCTCAGAAATCGTCAGGATTTGTTCCAAGAGGAGGGTATATTAAATCTGATCCTCGAAGCTATTGACAAGATTAACGTGATTACTTCGCAAGGATTTCTCGTCGCTCTTTCCGGTGACGAGAGCGGTCAGGCTTGGGATCAGATATCCGGGTATCTCTATCAACTACTGGCAGCCATTATCAAAGGAAATCACACCAACTGCGCACAGTTCGCCAATAGTAATCGTCTGAATTGGCTGTTTAGCCGATTGGGCTCGCAGGCTTCCAGTGAGGGAACTGGAATGTTGGATGTACTTCATTGTGTTTTGATTGATTCGCCAGAGGCTTTAAATATGATGAGGGTAAATTGCTTTTGCAATATAGATTAGCTATTTGGCAAACAATAATATTCTCACGAATAAAGCTTTTATAGAGTAAGTTAAATCTAATAAAAATTTATATAAAATGAAATCTAATTTTTTCAGGATGAGCATATAAAAGTAATTATTTCTCTACTGGAGAAACACGGTAGAGATCCGAAAGTTCTGGACGTCTTATGTTCGCTATGCGTCGGTAATGGTGTCGCGGTACGCTCTTCACAAAATAACATTTGTGATTTTCTGCTGCCTGGAAAAAATTTGCTCCTCCAAACGCAGCTGGTGGATCATGTGGCAAGCGTTAGACCGAATATATTTGTCGGCAGAGTTGAGGGCTCGGCTCTTTATCAAAAGTGGTATTTCGAGGTGACAGTGGATCACATTGAACAGACGACTCACATGATGCCGCACTTGCGAATTGGATGGGCGAACACCGCTGGGTAAATTAAGTTAGATTAAGTCTTTAGATTAAGTATTTTAAGTCTTCATTTACAATGTAAAAATGTAAAGTACATGAAATGAAAGAACGGTTTTGCTAAAGTATCTAAAAATTTAACTATAGATCTGAAAATAATTTTGTTGAAATCATCAAAATGATTATGTAAGATATATTCAAACTGGTAATTAAAATGTTAACATTTTTTACAGCCTTACTTATCATGCTTGAGTTTTCTACGTAATTATTAGTTCAACAAAAGTATTTTCACATCTATATCTATCTAAATTTTTAGATACTTCAGCGAAACCATTCTTTTCGTGTATTTTGGCTATAATTTCTTAAAGTAGTAGTTATATATCTTTGGTATTTATTATATATAATTAAGTTTTAAGTTTCGTATTAAGAAGTTTAATAAAGTTTAAAAAATTTTTCCTCACACACAGTTATATGCCGTATCCCGGTGGTGGTGAAAAGTGGGGTGGAAACGGCGTAGGTGATGATTTGTATTCATTCGGATTCGATGGCGCTTATTTATGGACCGGCGGTAGAAAGACACAAGTAGTTCAAAGTGCCATCGAGCCTTACATACGAAAAAGCGACGTGATCGGTTGCGCTTTGGATCTAACGGTGCCGGTGATAACGTTTACTTTCAATGGCACTCACATTATGGGCTCTTTTCGGAACTTTAATCTAGATGGCATGTTCTTCCCTGCTATCAGTTGCTCGTCTAAACTCTCCTGCAGATTTTTGTTGGGTGGTGATCACGGTCGACTAAAGTTTCAATCACCAGAAGAGTTTTCGCCGCTGGTGGAGAGCCTGCTGCCGCAACAAATTCTGTCACTAGATCCATGTTTCTATTTTGGTAACATGAATAAGGTGGTTCTGGCGGGTCCGTGGCTGGTCGAGGACGACACTGCCTTCGTTCCAGCTCCGGTAGATACTTCCATGGTCAACCTGCCTGCCTATGTCGAGCAGATTAGAGATAAACTGGCGGAAAACATCCACGAGATGTGGGCGATGAATAAAATCGAAGCCGGTTGGATCTACGGCGAGGTCAGGGATGATCTCAGAAAGATACATCCCTGTATAGTACAATTCGAGCGACTACCAGCCGCGGAAAAACGCTATGATACTCAATTGGCTGTGCAGACCCTGAAGACCATTTTGGCACTGGGATATTACATCACCATGGATAAGCCCCCATCTAGAATAAAAACTTTGAGGCTGCCAAATGAACCATTTTTGCAAAGTAGTGGATATAAACCAGCACCTCTTGATTTATCTGCGATCACGTTGACTCCCAAAATGGAGGAGCTCGTAGATCAATTAGCAGAGAACACGCATAATCTTTGGGCAAAGGAAAGAATCAGTCAAGGATGGACATACGGATTGAACGAAGATTCGGAAATGAGGAGAAGTCCCCACTTGGTACCGTATCCGAAAGTCGATGAAGCTATCAAAAAAGCCAATCGAGATACAGCCAGCGAAACCGTCAGGACTCTATTGGTTTACGGATACATGCTCGATCCACCCACTGGAGAACAGCATGAGGGTGAGAATTTTAATCCTAGTTAAATATACTCGTTTATTTAAAAAAACAAATCAAGTTTATTTCATCAAAGATAACTGTATTTTTTTTCAAGTATTTACGAAACATATATATATGTATATAAAACATTACTGCTATTAATTTAATATTAATTACAATTTGTAATAATTAATTACAAATAAAAATTATTATCGTTCTCCTAAGTCCTAAATTTTAATTTGTATTTGATTGTTCGTAAAACTTTAATCGTGTGCATTAAATTCAAATAGCGATTATCTTTTAGAGTTTTTAGAGTCATATTTTTTTAAGATTTTGATTTTAAGATTATACGTATATAATGTATTTACTTTCTAATATTTCTAGCATTACTTTTGGAGGCAAGCAGATTACGACAATTATCCTTCAGGACTTATAGGGTTGAGAAACATTATGCAGTCAGCAACGGAAAATGGTATTTCGAGTTCGAAGTTCTTACAGCTGGGCCTATGCGAGTCGGTTTTGCGAAAGCTGATTGCATGCCAGGAAGTATGCTAGGCAGTGATGAAAGTACTTGGGCATTTGATGGTTATAACGTAAGTATCGATATAATTTCTCTTTTCATAATTTAACATTTAAAATTAGAACGACAATATTCATTGAAATTTGATGAAACAATTTTTCCAATCGTTAGAATGATAATTTGGCATCTTTATAAAATATTAGATTTTTATTTCGAATTAAGTGTAATAAATAAATAAAATGAATAAATTAAATAAAAATATCTTTGTGTAAATTAAATTCAAATTTGCTTCATCTTTTATTAGAAAACTATGCAATATTTTCCGTAATTTTAAATATATTGTAGCCATGAAAGGTGAGAATTTTATATAGACTTTAAAGTTCTTTTTTTTTACTAATTTAAAGTTTGTTTTTAATTTATTTTTACAACAATATTAATCAAGGAAGTTGCGTGCAATTACGGAAATTCTTATTAGAGTGCAAATATTAATTGTAAGCGCTATGTGGCTTTTATTGCGATCTCTGAAATATGAATAATCCATAAGAACATGAATGCCAGGTGACTAAAGTGCACGCTGGCACCCACGAGTCATTTGGTCACAAATATCAAGTGGGCGACATAGTTGGATGTTTCATTGACGTGGCAGACCGAACGATCAGTAAGAGTCCCATTTTCCAAATTAGCCGATCTTAGAGGCCCCACTATACGTATACACATCTTTTCTTTTCCTGAGTTTTCTCGTCACTACTATTGTCTTTGTCTCGCTCTATATGTTTCTTTTCATGTTGACTTTGGTTTTATATCTTACATCCTTGTCCCAAGACAAATAAAATCGCTGGTAATATTTCATTCGGCGAAGTGTGGCTTGATCTTTATCGATATCGAGGGAGGAAAAATCGCGTAATTTCCTCGAGGTATCTTACTTAACTGTATACTGTGCCGAATCTTTAATATCGCACGAGTATAAACGACATCGAGAGCGATATTAATAGCGATAGAGAAGATAAATGTGTACAAGGTGTTTAAGACCGCGGACAAAAATAGAGCGGTTGGATTACCGGTCTGTCCTGATCTTCACGAGCAAAAGTAACCTTGAACTGGTGAACCATTCTGTTTTAAAGGAGGAAAAAGTATACTCGGGCACGGCCGAAACGTTCGGCAAACAATGGCAGGTCGGAGACGTTGTCGGTGTTTTCCTGGATCTAATTGACCGAACGATTAGTAAGACGGAATTTTTAAGCGACCGCTTTAGCTGCCATATCTCAAGCTATACATATATGATTTAATCTCTGGTGATAGATTACTGGATACAGACATTGCGATTTTTAACACGAACTGTTTTGCTCTGCATAGTTATTCGCGTTAGATAGTTCTTTAACATAATATTAGATCTCTATACAATATTAGATCTTTAATATTAACCGAGTAGATATTATGCAAATTGTATTGAAAACAAAAATATAACAGTGCAAAAAATTGAATAAATAATCATTATAAAATTAAAATAATATTTAATTTGCAGAACACAATATAATTTTAGAATCGTTTGATATTTAAATAGATATTTATTAGGCAAAATTTTTGCGCCATGCACTTCGAGGAAAAGTCATTTCATTAATGCTTTCTTGATGAAAAGAAACTCCGTTGTGACGGTTGCTTAAACAATTGGAGAAACCATTTTCACACAAAATTATTTCATCTTGTTATTTTAACACACTTCTTTATGGGGTTAACCACAAAACCAGAAGCAAGTCCTGGTTTCTATCATCATTAATAATACCGCATTCTCTGCGACGAAAATCATAACCTGCCCAATGTCTTCTCCGGTATCCAGTACTCTACTCAGTGTTTATACTGTCAGCGACAACAGTGCTTCTATAATTCATACCTACTAATCACTAACACTAGGGTGACCCCAGATATTATATATATCGATCATATCACGTTCATTCTGAAACAGTAATCTCTGAATATACAATTGTTTTACAAACACAAAAACACACGATAAAAACTGACTTTTCAAAAATGTCACAGTCTCTTTGTCTTTTTAAACTATTTATATTTCTCTAAATATGATATTTTCTAAACTATTAATTACAAACTATTGCCAAATACTGCACGTGAACGTGTATGGGTTAAACTATTGAATAAAAAATATTGAAGAAGATCTCTCTCTCATTGTCCTGTTTATGAACTGTTAAACTCTTTATTTTTTTATCTCTATATATATTTACATTTTGTTATTTTTTATTGTAAGAGTTATTACTTAGTGCATCTCTCTCGTCTGTGTATGATAATATTGCACATATTTGATTTTTAGTACATCACTTTCAAATAACACCGCTTGCATGCGTATTTTGTTTGATTTTGTGTTAATGGGTCGTATGAGTAAAGATAAAATAAGTGCTTTAGCTTTGAATTTTGAAATATTTTAATATTTTTATCCAAATATCTAAAATAATGGATGAAAGCAAATGCTTTTCATACGGCCTTTAACACCTGCTTTGCTGTAATTTGTATTTACAAAGTGTTTCAAGCTGTTAAGAGAATCTTATTAAAATTAGTACGATTATCTTTTTATACAAATCGTAAGAACTTGCGTTTTATATGTGTCATAACATTCGATATTTACGAATTGTAATAATTATTTATCGCCTAATTAGATTTCTGTTTTTTTCTAATAAGCCGAAACAAATGTTTGACAGTTAAAATTATTGAGTAAAAGATATATTACTTGGTAATCATTATTGTTACTTTTATTTTGTACAACTTTCTGAATTATATTGTTCGTTTCGACTTTTCATAATGCTCAATGTAAGTATATCACAATACAAATCTGCGAATTACGTTATAGGTTTCTCCTTAAATGGAGAACTGCTAATGGATGCGCTCGGCGGTGAAACTTCTTTCGCCGATGTGCAAGGCGACTCTTTCGTGCCTGCGTTTACCCTTGGCGTTGGGCAAAAGGCAAGACTAACATTCGGCCAAGATGTAAACACTCTGAAATTTTTTACTACTTGTGGTTTGCAGGAGGGCTATGAACCGTTCTGTGTGTAAGTAACTTTGATTTCTTTATTAAAATGGAATACAGTAAGTGACAGAAAAAAAATTAATGTCGTTTATTAATTTTCTCAGGAACATGAATCGTCTAGTCACGTATTGGTACACGAAAGATCAGCCCATTTTTGAAAACACCGACGACATGGCCGACACGCGAATCGATGTGGCTAGGATACCAGCTGGTTCCGACACACCGCCGTGTATGAAAATCTCTCACAACACGTTTGAAACTATGGAGAAGGCTAATTGGGAATTTCTACGATTATCATTACCTGTGATTTGCCAATCTAGTTTCATAACGGAGGGTGAGAAGTTGCGCAGGTGGCAGGAGATCAAAACGCGACAGAATAGACTTCTAGCCGAGCAAATTGAGCAAGGACAGCAGACAGCACCGTCGGGTCATTTAGAACAGATTATGAAATCCGGTTTCAGTATGAGCGATATCAAAGGTAATTACGTAGAAACCATTAATTAATTTAAAAATATGATTTGTGATTTATATTTGTACATAACATATAAAAAGTGTTTAATTAAAATAAAAATAGTTTGTGGCTTCAAAAATAAATCAAATCTAAGTAACTGTATATATTTGACTTATATTTGAGAAATCTTTTTAAATTTATTTAATTGTAATTAAAAAAAAATTTTAGATAAATTAATCGATAAAAAGATTGACTGGTTTTTAAATAAAACTATTCAATCTAGTAATAATGTTACAATATCTAATAATGTTACAGTAATGATATACCGGTTATAATATTATGCAACAAATTTAATACAAATATTACTGAATAGGACTGCAAAGAAATTATTCGGAAGATGCGGCTGAGGCAGACGAGATGATGAAAGAATCGCCGCTTCCTATGCAAAGAGGTAAACCTGCCAGACCACCCAGGAAAGGTTCATTTTATGGATCACGTTTAGATAATGCGATCAGTGATGCTGAAATGAATGGATATGGCGAGATGAATGGTGACATAAAGGACGAGAAAAAGAAACGCGGTCGCTCACCTTTTCGGTAAGCATAAATTATATTAATAACTATTGTCTGTAGCGAATATTGTAAAAAACAAATTGATTTCGATACTTTGACTTTGTTAGCAAGCTTAGCAAAGAAATGGAGGATGCACCGTAAGTTTTTTAAGTTTTTTTTCCAACGCTATTATGAAATATAATCATTAATATTTTTATTTCAATGTTCTATATCTCAGTAATTAATTGAACATTGATTTTATATTATTTTGTTAAAATTTTATTTTTTTATTTTTAATAAATTATTTAAT